AACCCTGATTTGCATTTATGTTAGTAACTTTTATTGATTCACAACACTGTGCATCAGTATTGGGAAGAAATACAAATAGCTTTCATATCAGCAATTCCTCTTAATATTTTTCCTTGCAGCAGACAACTATGAGGACGAATTGCATAACCCTTGTGAATCGGTATACTGTGGTTCCTCAGCTGAATCTGAGCCAGAAACAAAGGCAGTCACAACCTTTATCCGGGCACACCTTGCTTCTATCAAAGGATATATAACCATCCACGCCTATTCTCAGATGCTACTTTTTCCTTATGGCTATACAGAAGAAGAAGTACCTATTCATGACAAACTGGTATGTAGAAAAAGGGAGGTTTGCATCAGGCCAGCACAAAAATGAATAGCCTTAGGACCATATGCAATCTCCAGAACTCTTCTGGGAGCTTACAAAAAATACCAGACTAGATGAGCTAATCACTGTGAATATCAGTAGAACATTTTCTTGCTATTTCAAGGTTAGACATAAAAAAAAACCTGCAGAAAACTGCAGTGAAAACCCTGAAACAGGCTCAAAGATAAGTTTTAAAAATTAAAGACAAAGAAAATACTCACCTCTTTCACTGTCTTTGCCGCCTCTCAAACTTTAAAATGACTTCCAGCCATCCCAAAAGTTTCTGCGTGCCCTTTTTATTTGTTTATTTAATTTTAAGTGTTTAACCACATTTTCCCATTTGTTTTTTATTTATTTTGTTTATATTTCATATGTCTAGACCACCTATCTCCCTCAAGGAGGAGCTCTGAGTGGTGTACATGTAATATATAAAACAGCATATAAAGTTAACATTAGAATATTATAATTAATTTAAATTAAACATTTTAAAATTACAAGTTTATAACATAAATTTTTAAAGAAATAAAAAATGCCAAGATGGCCATTTAACATTGGTTAATAAAAGGCAGATGAGGGCTTTCCGGGCATCAGTCAACCCCACAATTGCATAGTCCTTTGTGCCCCCCCCCCCCCCCGCAAGGCAGCAGAGCCAAATTTGACCCCTTTACAGAAGGCCAGGAGAGTGGGGGCTAGCCTCACCTTTAGGGAAAAGTTATTCCGTAATACAGGGGCTGAGAAGGCTCTCTTCCTAGACACCACCAGTCAAAATTATTTGACTCTTGGAGTCTGTAGCATACTTTCCCTATCTGAACAAGGGAGATAGGCTGATGGGAGGGATGAAGCCAGTTCCATAGATAGCCTGTCCCCAAGCCACGTAAGGCTTTATAGGTGATGGATTTGATCCGGACACAAACTGGCACCCAGTGCAGTTTGCAGTTTGCGCCCTTCTTTGGTCACTCAATACACACAGAACAAATTGTTTATTGTTTTCATGTAATAAGTCACCTAGAGTTCTTTTTTTTTTTAATTTGGCATATATTAAGAGTGAAACAGACTTTCCCCAAGAGAATTTTTTCCCCTTAAACAGTTTTCCCAAATTGTACATTTTAATGCAATTTTTGACCTGTGGGCTATTTCAAGACATAGATCAGGGAACTTTGTGAATAATCACAGAAGAATCCATCTTGGCAGATCATACCATTTTATAGTTCCTCATCCATCTTCTCTGCCTGCTTGTTTGCTTGGTGAGAGATAGCACATGGATAGGAAATTCAAGAAGGAGAAGAAGCAGCCGCAGCTCTTACAGCAGGCCGAAACTGGCAGCAGGCCTGTTGTGAAGAATAGGCATTGGCAAGTGCCCAACAATGCCGGTTTTGACACCATCCAGCCCCAGAAAAAGGCTTGTAAAAGCCACTCTTCATCTTTCCACCCAGTACGTACTATCACAAAGTTCTTGCTAGTTTTTAAAATAATCTGAACTTTGGCAATTACCTCACATTCAGAATGAGATTGTTTTTCTTTTCAGAAACAATTTTGAAAGGTTCCCCTGTCCAATACAAGCAGATGCCAACAAGGATCATTTTCCATTAGTGGTGTCTAGTGAGATAATATGAAAATATAGAAAGTTCAGATTAAGAAACCATTTCCTTTTATAGCCTGAACACTGAATTGTTCATTGATTATCAAAAGTCCACATTCTAAATAAATAGACCAAAATGAAAGGAATAACCAGATGGTTATTGTTTATCTACTACATTTAGATTGCCTCTCTGAATTCACATGTAACATATAGCAGAAGGTGCAGTTGGGAGGTGATCTGGGATGGGTGGTGGTAATTTTTTGACTATAAATAAAAATGTCCTCTTGGGCATGGCTCATAAGAAAAGCAATAGGATGCAAATAAATTAACAAGAACTTTTAACAAAATTGTTCTCACTGGAATGGAGCATAGCCAGCTCCTGAAAACAACAAGCAACACCAAAGGGTCTCTGACCATTTACCATAATCAATGATGAATAGAACAAAACAGAACACAACAAAACAAAACACAATACAATTCAATGCATAATAATTAACCCAGAATCATAATGCAGCAGAGTCCTTGGTGCTCTCTGAGCTTGGTTGTTTTCTTGCAGACGTTTCATTACCAAACTAGGTAATATCATCAATGCGAGTAAGGTGCTAGTAACATAATCAATGCTAATGAACTTCTTACTAGCACTGATAATATTACCTAGTTTGGGTAGTGAAACATCTGCCAGAAGACAACCAAATTCAGAGAGCACTGAGGACCCCTTCATTTCAATCCTGAGCTACAAATATTCTCCCTTATTGGTACTCATATTGCAGAAATAGCTTGTATCTGTTTAAAGTTTCACAGATTAATGGATTGCGAAATGTATAGCTGATCTGCTCCTTGAGACAATTTAAAGATCTGTGGTGTCCTTGGTGCTCTCTGAGTTTGGTTGTTTACTTGCAAGCAAACAATTCAAAAAGCACCAAGCTGCAAGTATTCTCTTCTATTGATTCTAGACAAAACTTTCTTTTGCAAATTGCCTGCCAATGAAATTGATTTTTGGGATTTGCCACTGCAACCTATTTGTAGGTTAGCAAGTTAGAGAAGACTGCTAAATTTGCAGGATGCTATAAATGCTAATCATCTAATATTAGAATTTAGTTTCCCATCTCTGAAATTCATTTTTGCCCAAGGTAAAGAAGATGCTATGTCACCTGCCTACATAGTATTAATGTTCTCTAAACAACGTAGCTTTTCATCCTATCAGTTTTACAAAAATGACAGAGAAATCTTCAAAACAGGGGAAAACTGAATTAATTCATTACAATATGTTAAAATGTGTCAGTATATAAAAATGTTTTGTCTTGGCACCAAAAAGGTTAGAACCAGGCTAGGTTCTTATGAAACAGAAATGTAACCACTGAGAAAGCGCCATCTTTGTAAGTTATCTTTGTGCTTCTGAAGAACAAAACCTGCAGGAAAAAAGCCTCAGCACATTATCTTAAAGAATTGTCTTGGACAGATGAAACAAAGAAAAGTGTATTATATACCTTTCATCTCAATAGATGTAGAAGTTGGCAATCCTTCAAATGAAAGATCCTAGGCTTTCTATTAAGGATTAAAATCCATTTATGTGCATATTCTAATACACAAATGGAGAGGCATATTCAGATCCTGGCTTGCATGCGGACTATTGTTGCAGTCTCAGCAGGAGACATGGAACACATTAGGTATACATCTGTATGACAACACATCTCTAGATGCAGCACGAATTATTCAGTATATTTTCTGTCCAAATTGTACAGCTTGGATAGGGATAAAATTCCCAAATGTCTTGCAACAGAAGTGGGAATCCAAATTCATTGTTTGTGGCCTCTAGTCACATCAATGCTCCGTAATTACTTATGAACTGGGGCCCAAATCTAGGATTGTCCAAGAGCTTTAAAATCAACCAAAATTTAATTCACTTGTGACACTATATAGGGCTCAGTTAGCAGGTGTTAAATAGGACCTCAGATGCTTGTCATACTGGGCTAGAGGAACAAATATCAATTCCTGGATGAAGGCAAATTCCTATGTTCCTATAAATTATCTGAAAGTGATTGGGATATCATTGAATTTGTATGTAGTTGAATTTGCCAAGAAAGAAAGGAGAATCTGGTTTATTGATCTAATATTTCTTCTTTTCAAATACAGAATAAATTGGCTAAGGAAGCTGTGGGTGCTTTACATAGCCTCCATCAAACAGAGTATATATATGGAGCAATCGCAACCACAATTTGTAAGTATTTGTATAAGCAAAATTCTGCTTCAAAACGTTTTATATGCTTTTTACACTGAAAAGTCTGCATATCTGCTTTGATATCTTGGGATATTTTATTCTGTAACTTATAAATACGTAAGAGTGAACACTACAGGGCATTGTGAAAAGGTACAAACATCATTCATCTTGGGCAGAAGAGGAGATCTATGACAAGCATCCTCTGTGGGACGGTGGAAAATTCTGCCACCAGAACTATGCCTCATACTCTACAAGTGGAGAGAATCTGGAGTTATCTTAGGAACATGCAGAATCTTAGATTTTCTCATCCGCATATTCTCATTTCTTTGACCCAACCCCAACAGTTTTCTGATAGATTTAAAAAAGGAAAGACTTTATTTTTTTTAAAAAAAGCTCAGCCTCCAAGAGTACCTTACAGTCAGAATCTTTTTAAGATTCTTTTTTTTTTTAATAAAGTTTTATTTGGGTTTTCAGACAAAATACAAGTAAAACATCTTTTTTGAAAATAGCATGGTCCCGGGTTGCACTTCTTTATACAGACACAAACTCAATTTCATGCTCATTTTTGTGTTCTATTCCATATCTTATTACTGTTCTGCCTTTTCTATATAGTTTTTCCCCTCTTTTAATTTTCTCAATTTTATTTTGATTATCTCATCTCAATTCAAATCATTATATTTATACTTTTGTCTGTTCTGTTTCAATTTCATATTATCTTTTCTCATTAAACAAATTTTCTCCTGTAGTTACTAATTGGAGTATGACACCTTTATATCTTTTAATTTTATCCATTCAACTCTTATTTAAACTTCGATATATACCTTAAGGTTATGACATTCAATATAATACATAATACATAACTTCCAATCGAATTCTGCTTGGTACATTCTTATAATACACACTATATTCTTAAAAAAAAGGATTGTAAATATATGTAATTAAAACCCTCATTCCACTCCAATTCAGTTCTATCATTAATATTCATTAAAGTCTTAACATCTTTAACATTTCTTTTCAATTAAATATCATACTTCCTTAAAGACACGTATAATCTCCATACTTAATTTTTCCCTTATTTCTCTTCACATATGTTTTAAAATAATTAAATATTCATTTTGTTACATTTATTTATTGACACACATTCCACTAAGTTATGATAACTATTTTATCAAACATTTTAATCATACATTGTTTCATATTTTCTGAAGTTATTTCTATTTCTAATATAACAATACTATCTTGTGTACCTTGCAGAATCCCTTTTTCAATTTTCACCCATTATCTCTAAATAGGCCCTGTTTCTCCATATTTTGTTTCTGTCCTTTATAACTTCTTTTCCTTTCTTTCTTCTCTCTTTTCTTCTCCCTCCCCTTTTTACCCCCTTGTCTCTCTACTTCTACTTCTCTCTTCTGCATTTCCCTCTTCTATTGCTTTCTGATTTTATACTTATTTTTCACTCTATTCTTTTTGGGGTTGTTTTTCCCAATCTTAAACTTTCCATTCTCTTTTCCCCCTTTCCTTTTTTTTCCCCACCTGAGATTACTTGTTCATTAAAGATGGCTTCTTCTTTGTTCCAATCTTCTTGTTCTGCAGGCATTTCTTGTTGTTTCTCATAGTTCCAAATCTCCATTTCCAAGAACTGAAATACGAAGCCAAAAGAACCTCTCCCTTCTTGTGCATCTTCTTTGTACTTTTTAAGTTCCATTTTCAATTATTTTAAAAGGGGAGCCATTTTAAACACTTTTAAACAACCACCCAATTGATTTTAGTCATTCAAATGCCGTAACCAAGAATCCAGAGATTACCAAATAATCCAAATAGTCCCAAGCTGTTTCTTCTTGTTTCTTTTTTCACTTTCTCTTCCTGGGGTTCTACTATTTTGTTGCGATGTTTCAGTTAAGATGTATCTTTTGGAAGTCTTGTTGAGATTTTACTGTAAGTTCTTTTTAATTCCAGGCAGTCTCCTGCCTTCCAGATCCTGCCCTTTTATTCTTTTTCTCTCCTTTCCTGTTTTCAAAAGCTTTTAATTATCCAGAAATCTTTATTATCCCTTTGACTTTTTATTTTCAGCATTAAATGCCTATTAATGTCAAAGTGGATTTTTTTTCCAATTCCTTGCTTAAGTCTCTTAGCTGTCAGTATAGGAAGACAAGAAAAAAAAACCAAATCCTTTCCCTTTTCTCTCTCCTTCGCTGCTTAGAAATCTTTGGGAACAATGTTATTATTTTTTTATATAGTTTAAATTCCAGGGTACCTTATTTGTTGCTTTTGCTGTTTGACCTAGTCAGCCAAAACTTTCTCTTCTTATCTTCCTCCTGCACATTCTTTTCCAGTCGAGTTCTTCTTTGTGGTGGCCATTTCTGACCACCGCTGCAACCGCCTTCAGGAAAGGGAGTAATGGCCAGCTGAGGAGGAGAGATGCGGCTCTCCTCAACCCTGCAGGCAGTCTCCCCCTTCTTCACCTGTACGGGGTGGCTTAGCCCCGAAACCAGCCGCCTCGGGGCACTCCAGCGGCGAGCATGGATCAAAACAGCGCAGAGTCGCGGTTTCGGTCTGTCGCTGAAGAAGCTCAAACCGGAAGCAGAATCTTTTTAAGATTCTTTAATTCTGGGGATAAGAAGTCCATGTGAGCTTCCATTGTACAGATATCCTTTTTGCTCACATAAGATTTCTTCCCATTTTACTTTTTTTTGTTTGTTTCCTGAAGTTTGTTTTGTTTTGTTTTTGTGACTTCAAGTCAGTGCTGACTCTTAACAACTTCTTGGACTAGTCCCTGAAGTTTTCTTGGCAAGTTTTTTGTTTCCAGAAATGATTCTTCTTCTGCTAATGTTACCCAATTGGCTTTGTCCCTAAGACAAACTAAAACTCTTGTACCTTAACTACTATACCAAATTAATTCCCTTCTGAAGATAGTATTATTAAGTTAAATGTTGGGATTGTATGTAAAATTTGCATTTTTAGTCCATCTGATAATTTCAAATATTCAGGCAGAGCATGGAAAAGACGCATTCATGCATACAATATCTCTTCCTCTACAATGCTTTTATCCTCACCTGACACTGTAGATCCAAAAAACTAAAAAGAGTTTTTGGGTATAGTACATGTTCTACTCTGGTTTCCTCCAGCTAACCAGTAAATAACTCTATTGTCTCCAGGATTTACTTTCTGAGAAACCAACTGTTTTGCCAGTCATTTAGATCAGCAAGGGAGATCCTTTTGAAGTTAGCCTACTGCCTGCCATAGAAAATGGCCTTCTCTTGCAATGAACCTCCTATATCTATATCATGAGTCATAGAGAGTATTTGGATACCACTCCCCCAAGATTTAGGAAAATTTAGAAAAGATCCAAGCTGTTAAGGGCTGATTAAATTTAATGATAGTGATTCGTTTGCTTTGGTTTTAAATATTTTACCTTTACTCAGAGGTGAAATGTTTCCGGTTCAACCTGGTTCACCCAAACTGGTAGCAAAAAATGCTACCAGTTTGGCCAAACCTGTATTTCTGATGATCAGCTGGGCGACAATAAACTGTGACGAATGATTTAGATTAGCTAGAAAGCAGGAAATTGTCAGTTTTCTTGCTTTCTAGTTCATCTAAATTGTGTGGCACAGCTGATCTCCCCCCTCGCTGTTGTACTTACCTTGGAAGTTTTCAAAATGCTTCTTTTTTTAGCACCCAGGCGGCTTCCCTGAAGCCCAGTAGGCCAAAAACAGGGCATGGGAAGTGCTGCGAAAGGAAAAAAGACTTTTGACACCCCCCCAGTCACATGACCACATAGCTGCACCCACCCAGTCACATGCCCAATGGCCATGCCCACCTGGCCACACCCACAGAGCTGATAGTAAAAAAATTGAATCCCATCACTGCCTATACTTTAATACTTCATTATTTGTATTTTAATTACTAAATATGCTATCTCAAGAATTGTTAAATGCAATTTTATGTTTGTTTGTTTATGGTACAAATAGATCTCCTTTTTTAAAAACAAAAGAGTGAAATGCAAAAAACTACAATATTAACAGAAAAAACATGCAGTTAAAAAAAATCTAGCTAGGGTATGGTGATATTATATATATATATATATATATATATATATATATATATATATGAAATGTTGAATTTTCATATTTTACACTGTAAAAATTTAAAAAATAAATAAATAAATGTGAGATTATTAAGGCTTGACTATATTAAAAACATATTGCTTCATCTTTGTAGTTTAAAATACAGAAACTTTTCAAAGTAAATAATACTCTCCTATATGCCTCAAAATCAAGTAAAATTACTTTTAAAATACTCTCTGTACTGTACTCCAGGTTCAGTGAGGCAAAACTTTTCATGTGATAAAAATTCTGTGTTTTATGAATTTAGCTCCATATCAGATTAAGCTCTTAACTATAAATTAACTATATTTCTTCCCAAAATTATATTGACAGGGTAGTGATTTAAAACCAAAATGAGCTCATAGCTGTAGCATATGATTTAAAGAAACTTCAAATTTCTTACAATAACAACACAAAACAATCTAAAATGTTTAAAAAATATTTTTCAACATCCATTGAGGGAACAATAGAAATAAATAATATTTTCTGATGAATTAATTTTATTTTAATCATAACAAATATATTACATATTTCTTAATCATCTTGATCTATTGATTCTCCAATATTCTAATTCACTTTACAATTACTTCAATGATGGTTTCCCTTTAAGCAATTCATCTCTTAAAGTTCCTAAAGTTATAGGAAATGAAGTTTTATTTAATGCCTTTCATTGCAAACTTCTTGGTTTCTTATTGGTCGGATATATTTTTCTTGACCAAACTTTGTTGAACTGGTGTTCATTTTTGCCTTGAAATGAATAACAGTGACATTTGTCCTATATTCATTTTGTTCTCTATGATTTCAACAGATAACTTTTCAAAATCAGACTATACACTTTTGTATCAGCTTTTCATCTAACTGTTAAATTACCCTTTTCTCACTGAAAGTGCTGATTTGAACTTCCATCTGTCTGATGTAATCTTTATAAAGAAATACAACATCATATGACATTGTATTACAATAAATTCCCATGACCGGCATCAAATGTCATTCATATGCAGCAGGAAGTTTATTTTGCAATTTTCCTCATGATGTTTTTTCAATCTAATCTTATCTATCTCAACTGTTTTCTCAACTGTAGATCTCAACTGTTTTCTGCAAGCTCTCTTTTATATTTGCATATCTGGACTGATGAACTCAGTTTTTCTGTTTCACACTAACCAATAATTGGGTATTTTACCCCTAGAGTTTTCAGTGTTCTATAACAAACATCCTTTCCTAACAAGAGAATCATATGTGTAATTTCCAGCCCAAATAGCACTGCACAATTAAATATTTATTTGTACTTATGCATTGGGTACATATGTCTGGCAGTTAATAAAGCATTCTTCCCAGGGGTGGGATTCTACCAGTTCACACCTATTCCCTAGAACCAGTTTTTAACATTCTAAGCAGTTCAGAGAACTGGTTGTTAGAAGAAATTACTGGCCTAATCCTGTGAGGAAGGCAGGAAGGAAACATTCTGGTGTTGCTTACAGAAACTGCCTCTCCGATAACCCTCATTACATTCTTGGCAGGACTAGACTTTCAGGAATGTCTCTGGAGTTTTTCCCCCTCCTTTGCTGGTACTTTGCTTGTGTGGAGTGACCATTCAAAGTTACAATGGCACTGAAAAAAGTGACTTATGACCATTTTTCACACTTACGACTGTTACAGCATCCCCACAGTCATGAGAGGCCAGGCAAGGAGATGCGTGCCTCGATATGAGTGATATTAAGTTGGCCACACCCAACCAATAACATGACCACCAAGCCATGTCCACCCAATCACATGACCAAGCCACGCCCACCACCTAAGCCACGCCCACAGAACTGGTTGTTAAAAATTTGAATCCCACCCTTGATTCTTCCTCATAATTGTAAGAGACATCATTTTCAAAACTATTTAAGAAACATTTATCCATTAAGATGATTAAAGGCCTGGAGACCAAAACATAAAGAACATTTGCAAGAATTGGGTATAACTAGTCTAGAGAAAAGGACTAGGGGTGACATGATATCAGTATTCAAGTATTTGAGGGGCTGCCATAAAGGAGCAGGAATCAACTAATTTTCCAAAGCACTAAAAGGCAAGGCAAGAAACAATGAACGAAAATTAATGAAGGAGAGAAGCAACCTGGAGTTAAGAAGAAACTTCCTATCAGTGATAACAATTAACCAGTGGAACAGTTTGTCTTCAGAAGTTGTTAAGTGCTTCATCACTGGAGATTTTTTAAGAAAACACTGAAATGTCTGTCTGAAATGGTATGGGGGTCTCCTATTTGAGTAGTGGATTGGATAGAAGGTCCCTTACAACTGTATTCTGATTGAATAAAAAGAAAGAAAGGTATAATGACAAACCACTTCTGAAAAACCTTGCCAAGGAAGGAAAAACCTTGCAGGAACTTATCCAGCCATTCTCTAAGAATGGACACAATTGGAAATAATCAATTTGAAAAAGAAGAAAAAATAAAAATCCCAGTCCTTACTGGCATCTAGTAAGAAGCATGTATGTCTTCAGAATACAAGCAGGGAATTTAAGCATGATTTTAGAAAGTATGGATTAAGACACGGATAGTTGAGTGCCCTAAAATAATAATATCCATTTAATTGCCTATGCTAGTCCTTATTCTGTTTCATTTGAACCAATGGAGATAGCTCTGGTGAAAATCTTTTTCTCAGACTAATCTCATATAGCCAGTCTTCCTATTTCACCATTCCCCTTGTGTTCCAGTTGTTTTTAACATTATTTGTTTTTCAGATCCTTGTTCTGGAGTTTCCACAGATTGGGCTTACGATGAAGGAATAAAATATTCGTTCAGCTTTGAACTTCGTGACCGTGGCCAATATGGTTTTCTCCTGCCTGAAAGTCAGATAAAACCTACCTGTATGGAAACTATGCTGGCAATCAAAGTACTTGCCAAATACATTGTCAACAATGATCAGTGAACACTTGGTCACACTTCCTTACAAAATAAATTCTCTCCTTCTTGGCTGCAATTGTCTCCTTGATTCTACCAGTAATTATAGATTCTCTTTTCTGATTTTTCTATTCCACTGATATTTTGTTGTCTTTCCCTTTGATGTCTTTCAGCACTAATTAAACTTTGAAAATGCAGTGTGAAGGACAAATTTCCTAATGGATTTATTTTATTCAAGCATATGAAAGACATTTGCTGAATAACTGTTAGCTCTCTTCTTAGTGAATTCCCGGATTTGCCCTTTAATAAAGATATCTCTGATAAATCTGATGACGATTCCTCCATTGTTCTGTGTTTGAATATTTGTTGCCTGTACCAAATTTAGTTTTTTGGCCTGGCCTGCTCATCTAGAACATAAACTTTTAAATCTCTTGGCAGCTATTCTGAACTATATCACAGCTACTTTCCTTCAATATTACTATCTCTGGATGAAATACACATAAAGATAAGACATATACATATAAACACAGAAAAGGAACTGATCATATAGATCTTTCTCACCCCATCCATCAGTCATTTAGCAAAACATGTTTGTGAGAGTTGACCAGATGAAGATCCAAAGTAGCACCATCGTATCATAGTTCAATGGAAACCTATAAAGAAAAGAGATCTCAATTCTCAACAGCTATGGGTATGGCCTTATGATTCTCTCCTAAAATATCAGAATTTAGCTTGCATGTATCTGTCTGTCTGTGGAGATTCTCAGTTATCCAGCTCATAGTTTTATATATATATATATAAACACCCAGTCCAGTTGTCCTTTGAAAAAGCACCTTTGAGACATATATCTGTCCCAAAATAATCTTTGCTGCTGAGTTTTTTCTGACAATGAAAGAAGATCTTGCAACTATCAATTGGAAGGCTATTCCATCTTTTCTTCCTAAACCATTTGTTTTGTGCTAAGAAAAAAAAAGGGAAAATAAGTGAGTTACAAAGAGAAGACAATGACGTTTGGTCTCCCCTCAGTTCAGTTCTGGGAATGAAGCAAGATAATTGCACAATAACAGCATTGTCTCAAGGCATTGTATTTCTATTTAGTAATTCAGTATTAATGGGTTCACTGCATTTACATGTTCAGTTCATCACTTAATGTGCCACCATTCATTCACTTTGCAAGAACTAATCTATATTTCATACACAATCCAGCAAAACAGCTAACTAAATTAGAACCAATTTATTGTTAAAGGCAAGGATAAAATTCATTTTGACTCTGAAAAACAAACCCACAGTCCTATTTTGACTGAAGTAGCAAAAGTAAATTTGAATGGACACATTTTATTTTATTTTCTATCTGGCCGCTTATAGTTATTCCTTCCTTTTACAAAATGTTTGCTGTTGGTATTACTTGCTTAGCAATACTTCTCTTAATAAATCCAGTGCATCAAACAAAAACCTTACTATTTCCTAAAATCAAAGTCCTATTATACCTTGTTTTGTTGTCTGGATAGTTCAGTTATGATTAGAATATAATCTTAGCATCCTTCATACTCTTGAAGGAAATATTTTTATTTGGCCAACTAGGTCACCAAATATTGTACAAGTTTATCAACCTTTCATCATACAACAGTGGACACTGCATTTTTTAAAAAAATCATCAGATGAAATTGACCAGCATTCTGCCATTTTCTAGACCAGCTTTAAGTTTGTGGACTTCAACAACCAGAATTCCAGAAGTTATGGAATATTTTTATTTATTTGATTTGTCAATCGCTTACAAGATACAGGTACAAGAATAAACATAGTTTTGAATACATGAGATAGAAGCCTAATGCCCGAGACTTGCCAGCAAACCAGAAAAGAGCGCCATTCCTCAGTAAACGCTCAATTCAAAAGTACTCAGCGATTTCCGATTCCTCCCATTCTTGACTAGCATGCCAGAAAAGAGCTCATTCCTCGGAAAGCGCTAAATTCAAAAGCGCTCAACGATCTGCGATTCGACCCATCTTACTAGAAGGTAAGGCGGTGGGGATCGCCAGTACCGGAGGCTCTATGATCATCCTTGCAGTGCGGTGAGAAGGTGAGATTCATCCCATCCTTGCAGGGCGGTGAGCACTGGGAGCTGTGAGTCTGTCTTCAGAAGTTTGCAGCCAGGGTGTGAAGCAGACTGCTTCCCCCCTGCCGCCCCCACTTCCCTCTTCCCTCTTCTCTCTTCACCAAATTGCTAATCCGGACTCCATCTTTTAAAAGGACAGTAACTTTGGACTCCCAATAAGTAGGGAAGTATTGTTATAACTGAACTCCTGTGAAGATTGCAAGCAATTTTATTTCATGTGATAGAAGCAGAAGTATATTGAAGCTAGGAGTGATAGAAGCAGAAGTATATTGAATCCAGGAGTGAATGCTCAATACAAATCTGAGTCTACACAGTAAAAATATAAACTGTTCGAATTGCCAGTGCAAGACGTGCCTCTTTCTCTTAAAAGCAACAAACTTTGAAAGTGTATTTAGTTAACTAGGAGGGGCCCAGAAATCTCATTCATCAAGGGAAAACAAAAACAAAAAGTTTCCTGTTGCCTCCCTGTGAATTGTTCAGTTTGTCTCTGCTGAATCAAAGTCTGCTTGCAAAAAGGAGAGAAGAATAGTTGGTTTCCTCTGTTCTTAGAAGTGAAGCCCTTTCCTTCACTCGGATAAAAACCCTTTGAACATCGTGTTACAACCTTTTGTTTACAGAGTAATAGCAATCTGCTATTACAAAGAGCAACAAATTCCTCTCATTCAGTCAACTACAGCTGCTAGTAAAACAATTAACCCTTTCCTTGCAGACTCTTAATACTACCTCATTACTTTAATCAAACACTGATTAATTCATTACCTCAAAACTTACAACTTTTCTACCTCATCACCTATATCAACGATTAGATAATCAATTTCTATAAAATATTTTATTAATGGTTTAATTGATTTATTGTTTTAATTGATTAGTGTGATTAGAGTGTTTAGTGCAAATAGTGTGATTACTGACTAGTTTAAAAGATCAAGATTCATGTAATTTAATTGAATAGTAAAATCAATGATTTAGTGAATTTAAATGAACAGTGTGATTAATGATTAGTGTAATTAATTGATTAGTGATTAGAGTAATTAATTGATTAGGCTGATTGTTGCTCAGGAATATTATCTGACTAGAGAGATTACTGCAATTGATTGTTTGATGTGATATTGGCTATATAGATTACCCAAAATTGTTCCTTTAATTAATTCAATCAACGTACTATCTTAACAAACCTACCAAGCCAAAAAGAAAATCCAACGCCAAACCACAACCTAAAGAGAAGATAATCCCCACCAATGAACCACAAGACTCCTGCACATGCCTTAAATGCTACAAAAATCTAAAGGATAATGAAAACTCCATCAAATGTTCTCTGTGTAAAAAATACGCTCATCATGACTGCTTGGGATTACCTGAGCAAATGATTCAATACCTAGAATCATCCAATGAGTTTCCATATCTCTGCAAATCATGCAGACCCAAACTGGATCTGTCTAAAAGAGTTGATACCATTGAAACCATTGAAACATCCCTTAACGCCATAGTAGCATCCCTGGACGCCGTAAAAGAAAGAATATCCAACCTTGAAAAAAAAGACACAACGCAAAAACCTGAACATCCAATAGCTACAAACCACATCTCTACCCAACAACCACAACCCAATCCAAAACCCAATCCACAAATAAACACAACCCAGACAAATATTGATATCCCAATCCTCATCAGAGAAGCCGTTGAGCGTGAACGGAAACGTCCAAACGCCATCTTATTTGGTCTAGAGGACATCAATGACAATGATGACATCACAACTGTCCGAAACATCATCAGTGATTATCAAGCACCAACCATCTCCGCTGATGAAATACTTGACATTTCCCGCATTGGCCGAGAGCTCAAAAACAGAGACGACTCTGTGGCCCCACGCTTGTGCAGGATCATTTGCAAAAATGAATCAAGCAAACGTAAATTCATTTACACTATAAATTCACTCGCCAAAACCAACACCAACCATGAGAACCTCCGTTGTCGCCCTGACCTAACCATACAGCAACATGCCCGCTCCCGTGTACTCCGCACTGAACTCAAAAAACGTCTAGACAATGGAGAGAAGGACCTGTACATTGACTACCATGCTGACTGTATCAAAAGTAAGCCACACAACCCGCAACTCAGCTTTAACCCTCAACCACAACCCTACCTCAACCGATCCACCATCACCCAAGACTAGGCATGCACGCCCCTAACTACCTCAATTCCAACTACTACTGGCCTTAAATGCAAACTACTCAATGCAAGAAGCCTCGTGAATAAAATACCTGAATTTTTCCTCCTACTAAATATGGCTAAATTCGACATTATATTTGTCTGTGAAACATGGCTCAACGCATCTCTCCCTGACTCCATTACCACAGTAAGGGACTATCATGTTTACCGATCAGATCGTGAAATTCGTAGAGGAGGTGGTGTTGCTATCTTCTATAAAAAGTCCTTACATCTAAAAAATATCCAAGTTACCCAGGAGCTTGCTCTTCCTGAGACCATCATCTGTGAACTATCCTTAAATATCACAATTCGATTCTTACTATGTTACAGAGCACCTGATTATGACATCGAACATGTAAACAAGCTAAATACATTACTAACATGGGCTGCATCCTGCCCATACGCTTTTATCTTTCTTGGTGATTTCAATCTACCTCATATTGACTGGACCCTAAATGAATGTACAACTGAAATCATACACACAACCTTCTACAATGCTATTACAAATCTGGGACTGGAACAACTAGTAACCAACAACACTAGACTAAACAACTGCCTCGATCTCATCTTCTGCAATAGTTTGAATTTAATTTACGGAATACAAACTAAAGAACCCTTTTCCAGCAGTGACCACAATATGATTGACTTTTGTCTCAACATACGCCCACACAAAAATCACCACAATGATGTAATCCCCAATTGTAACTTCAAAAAAGGCAACTATGATCTTATAGACAACGATCTCTCATCCCTTGATTGGCAATCTCTATTCACTGGATGCAATACTGTTGAAGACCATTACAACATATTTTTACTGGAAGTCAAAAGAGTCATCAAACTATATCTACCAACAACAACTCCCAAAACAAAACAAAAAAGCAGATTACCCATAACAATAAGGAAACTTCAATCCAAAAAGAGATCACTCTGGCGGAAAAACAAA